GTGTGCTCTTCCGATCTCCCCAAAACCCCAAAACCCCACAGTTAAAAAATTGACAGAATAATTTGAATTATAATTAATTAATTATCAACGCATTTGAGGTGGAGGAGGCATTCTTGGTGGTGGAGGAAACATTTGCTGATTAGGAATGGGTGGAAAACTTGGAGGTGGAGGCATCTATTAAGATTACTAATTATATCCTAAAGCACTATATGCTTGCTATCCATTGAAACCAGCCACAGGATTTATCAAATTAGTAGGTATTGGCATTTGTTTAGAATTAATGGGTACTTACTATTACTATCCTTGATTCATCATTCCTGCACTGAAAGTTGCACTCTTATAATCATTGCTATTAATTAATCTTGTGTTTTCCTATTTAACACCTGCTCCAATAGTAGGCTTGTTATAAGCAAGAACTCTTTCAGCTAACGTACCATGCTTCTCTCCTGTTGAGTCTTTTTTGTAGGCATAACTAACATCTATTGGCTTACCACACAGGTATTAGCCATTCATTGCCTATAGAGAAGCATCTGAACTTTCGAAATTATCATAACTCACAAATCCATATCTCTTTGAAGATTGAGTCTCTGGATCTCTCATAATTTTAGTACTGAGGACTATTCCAAATGATGAAAATACATCTCTAAGCATTTTCTCATCGACATCTTCATGCAAATTTCCGACAAAAACATTTGCTCCTACCTCCTAAGTTCTCTTATCTTAACTTGCTTTATTTACTTTGATTGGCTTACCATACATTTTAACCATATGCATGATCTTAATTGCATAGTCTGCATCTTCCTCAGTTTTGAATTCCACAAATCCGTAACCTTGATGCTCATTGGTGACCTTATCTCTTGGGATATGAACATTTACAATGGCACCACATTATAGAAATAGTTCCCAAATCAGTTCTTCATTCACCTTACTATCTAAATTTCCTACATAAAGAGTAGCCTCCTGATTCCTTTCAAATAAAGGACCACCAGCAAGATGAGCCAATTTATCGTTCATTTTATAAATTATTAAATTAAAGTCTAAATTTGTTTATTAATGTTTTTGCAAAATTAAAATTAATGATAGATGGGAAAATGATTGATGAAATGAGTTGGCAATATCAGTCGTCTAACTTTAACTTCTTGAAATAATTACAGATGCCAAGTTAGCAAGCCTGGCATAAGCCTGAAGCATGCTAGCCCTTAGTCTTGTTTCCTGAACTGTTATTGGAGGATTTTCTTCCAGAATCAAATAGCTGCTGAATAGAAGTCATTGATCTTTACTAGAATTAGCTTTCATAGTCCTTTAATACAAAGTCAAGAAACTCCTCACTATTTCTGTCCAAACCTTTCACTTTCTCCTGAAACCTCTCATCCTCCTCTTTTTTAAGCCTTTCAATATTTTCATGCTCAAGTTTCTCTTGCTCTTATTGTTTCTTAGCGTAATTGTTTTCAAGGTGCAATTCTGAAGCAAGATGATTCCAAAATTTGAGGCAAAGCTCATTCAGATTTTGATCACTCATCTTAGGGTCAGCAAATCTGCCATGCTTCTAAATGAATTTCAACAAAAAAATTAATAAAATACCTTGCATTTCTGCTTGTAGATAAGAGCAGTTAGGTAGACACAATACTTCTAGGTCTTTTAGTCAAGGAAGACCTCATAAATAAAATCAAAAGTCCCAAATACAGAAGGCCATTTGCAATTGCAACCATAGGGTACATTGAATTCCACAAATCCACTTTCATTGAGTCTAGACTCAAGGTAAAAATTCTTCTTCTAGCGTATCTTCTTATCAATTTTACTCCAAGCTAGATCATAATTAAGCAATCTTATGTCATGATTTTAACTAGAAAATGGCTAAATGCAATCTAAAATATCCTTCGTCACCTCGTTGATCATTCAAAGATTAAAGATTATAAATATTTTTAGAGTTTTAAATTTGATTGCCTTTTAATAGATTGTTGTATTTATATTGATACTTCAGATTCACCCTAGAATCTAAATAATTTGATCAGAATTAATAAAAATACAATTTATTAAGTAAGGAAAACATTCCATGGAGTAATCAACGTCAAATGAGGATAAGCTAAACTTCAATAACATATCAGATGATGATCTCGCAGATAACCCTTATCTCACTCCAGAGTAGAAATCTCAACTCAACACTAAAAATAATTTACCAAAATCGCCAATTAATCATACTTAGCCTTAGCAGCATGAAAATTAGCCAAAAGAAAATATAAAGGAAGATGCCAAAAAATAAAATGAAAAAATTGATAATAAAATACCTCCCCATACACAAGTACAGTAGAAATAAACCCCTTAGGAGATACCTAAGGAGCAAGAGAAATAAATGAAGAACTATTGCTAATTATGTTTCCAAGAATTTAATTTGTTTACTTTTAGATAGCATTGTAGAACATGTGGTAGAAGTTGCTGCTCCAATTGCTCCATTAAGATAAGCCTTAAAGGTATAATTTATTATTCTATTTATAAATCAATGAAGGTATTGGCTAATCTTACAGAATTTGTGAGTTTTGCGAAGTAAAAAATGAAAATTCTTAGGTAAGGATATTACTTTAACAAATTTTTATTTACTGTAGATAGAGGATTATTACAGGCTAGAATGCAGTCTAAGATAATCTGACTAAGAAATAGTCTAAGAAAAGATTAAATGGCTGAAAAAGACTATTAAAGATATTGAAAAGCAAATAGGTCACGAAAGAGAGGATATAAGTCTATTGTAAGCCTCAAGTAAAAGATAAATAGATGATGTTTAAAATAAGATAAGCAATCTGCATAAGGAAAAATAGAGATTGGAAAAATTGAAGGAGTAACTATTGAAGAGTGTGGAGGAGTTGTCTACTGAAAATAAAGTTAAAGATTAGAAGATTAAGGAGCTTTCCAGTTTAAGAGCTTAAAAGCTGATTGAACTAGACAAAACAAAGACTAAGATCGAAAACAAAGAGAAAGAGAGAAATGAACTTATCAAAGAGATTAGCAAATATGATAACAATTTCAGATCTTGTAAGAAATACAATGCTTTATTGAACATTATTTTATAGTTATCTAGTCAGAGACAGATTAAAATGACATGAACTTGACTCTAGAGGATGAAATAGTTTATCAATAAATTCCTGGCTCATAGACTATCATTATAGATGAATCATTCTAGTTGGATCAGTCCTTAAGATAGCCCCAAGAGGAGTAAAAAAGAGGTGCACTTTCTAAGACAATTATGCACAAATGAAACAAAAGATGCTCTTATTAAGCAATTTAATCAAATATAAACTGAAAATATGACTCACGAGTAGTAGTTATGATATAAGATTAATTTAGATTAACCCTTAATTTCATAAATTTAGACTTAAAATAAAAAAAACTCATGATGATGGCAATAGATTAGGTCAGTCATCTCATTCCAGCTTTCACATTTTAGGTTTCTTCATATTAATCATCATCCTCTCCATCTTCTTCTCCTTCCTCTTCTTCATCGTCATCATAATCCTCACCTTCTTCGGCCAAATCATCTAGTTTTAGAGAATCTGCTCTTTTAACCATAGTTGATCTCCTCCTCTTGGTATTTTTATTGGGTGATTTATTTGGTGACTCCGCCTTAAAACTATTCTCTCTCTTTGGTGGAACTATAACTGGAGGCTCTTGGTTTTTTAATGCTTTTTGGAGTGGAATAGGCTATGGTGGTAGCATTGGAGGTCTTTATTATTGCTGTGATTTATTTGATCCTTTATTGCTTAGATTTTTAGACTCCTAGGTTTGTATAACTGGCTTCGGATTGACCTCTGGTATCTAATCTTAATTTCTTGGTATTGGCTAAAGCTTTAAGGGAGTCCCCTATCTTTTATTAGAATGCTTGTTTGATGCAGGTTTTCTAGATTATCTGACGCTTTTATTAAGATCAATGAGCCCTTGATCAATCTACTTTCTCAAATCTTTAATCTTAATCTTTTCTTCTTCTTTTTAATCTCTAACAGATGCTTTTTTGTTCTCCCCCAATTCTTAATTATATTTTGCATTTAATGCTTTATCATCAATCTTTTTTCTAAGATCTCTCATTACTGTATTACTCACTACTGAATTAGCTTGGCTTTAATTAAGATGCTTCTTAATCCTACTCATTGCTTTACTTTACTGACTTCTCAGCCCAGTCTTATTATCTTCATCTTCCTCATCATCATATTCGCCATCTTCACCACCATCCTCTTCATCATATTCTTCTCCATCCTCACCCAACTCATTCTCCTCCTTTTTATCTTCTTCTTATTTTTATTTTGATGCTAATTTAATGTCTTTGCTAGAAGTCTTTATCGGTTAGGTTGGAGCAGTGATTTCCTTTGAAGGAAGTCTGCCAACTGAACCACTTTTCTATTTAGAAGCCTATGAATCAAGTTATCTTGACATTGGCTTAGATATTATTCTATTTTGAGTTTATTAGGATTTTGTTTAACGCTAATTGCTCTATTGATCATCTTCATCGTCTTCCAAATCTTCTCCATCATCATCTTCTCCACCTCCCTCCTCACCATCTTCTTCATAGTCTTCCTCAATTTCCTCATCATCATAATTCTTGCGTCCTCCACGACTGAAATCATCATCATTATCAGGATCCTCATAATTATACTCTCTTCCAAGTATTCCATTTTTTAAGTTCTAAGCTGCTTGCTTGGAATTAATTTGTGGTAACTTGTTATCGAACTTATCACCAAATCTTTTTCTTCGAGCAAGTGCCTCTGTTGCAAGAAACTATGACTCAAGTGATCTTTACATGTTTAGGATGTTCTTTTTCTATTAATAAAATTTTGATAAGGAGCATATTATGCTTACATTTAATAATTTCCAATCGAAGGTGTAATCTACAAAGTTTGCTCTGAAGAAAACAGCATCAAACATTTTTTTAAGATAAGAGTAGTCTGGTCTATCAGCGAACTTTAAAGCTCTACAATATCTCAGCAAGTCCTCAAATTCGATTGGAAGATCTTGAGAAATTTAGTTAAAAGGTAGGTCTCTCTTCATTTCCATAATGGCTTGATATTTGCTATTCTTATTATTTCCTCCTATACCCATCCATGGTAGCGAGCCTTTAACTAAGTAAATCAACACATAAGCTAAGCCTTCTAAATCATCTCTTCTACTTTACTCATACCCGAGATGATTATTAAGACTAGTGTACCTAGCGGTACCTGTCAATGCTTTACCCTCTTTAAAAGGTATATGCTAGCCTGTCTTTGGTTCAATATATCTTTTAGATAATCCATAATCAATAATGTAGACAATATCAGATTTACTACCGGTGCCCATTAAAAAATTGTCAGGTTTGATGTCTCTGTGAATAAATTATCTCGAGTGGAAGTACTCTATTTTGCTAATCTGAATTTTATAAGAATTAGTCTTACCATTTGTCTAGCCAAAAGCAAAGTAGATTTTAGAGTAAATTTCTTGCCACAATGATTGTACAAATCTTCTAATGATGGACCAAGTAATTCCATAACCATAATATTAAATTCTCCTTCTTAGCCAGCCCAAAATAGAATCGGTATTCCTTCATTACCTTGTAGCAATCTCAAAATTTTTGCTTCATAGAGAAGTTATGGAAATTTCACAGTCATATGTTCCTATTTAGCTTTAACCAAGCATAGTAGTTACCAATTTAATTGAGACTTTTTCTTAAGTTATTACATCCAGTCCCTCGTAAATCTAACCAAAAGCACCTCCGCCTATTTTCTTAATGACTTTAAATCGATCTGCAATTCTGATTTCCATTAATTAAAAGTTCTTAACAAACTTCGATTCTATAAATTTCTAGACTCTGGGGTTTTGGGGTTTTGGGG